AAAGAAAGCATCCAAAAAAAATTACAGTGATCAAAGAGCAGGAGAATCTGCCTTACAAGAGAAGACTGAAGGAGTTAGGTCTTTTTTTCCCTAGAGAAGTTTGGGGATTGGGGATCATATTTCAGTAATTTGGGCTGATACAAAGTGGACCAGGTTTCCTCTTAATACAAGCTAATTTTTTTTTCAGTGAAGACAATCAATCATAAGAACAACCTCCCCAGTTAGACGGCTGGAGGCTTCCAAAATGCAGTTGGACAGGATGCTTAAAAATTTCACCCAGACTCCCTTTCCACTGAGTGCAACACTGAGATGTTCCACAGTTCAAATCCTTCTGCCAGGCACTGAGTGGGATTTGCCAGTAAAAACATATGTTTAAATATACATTAATTTAAATAACCTTGGTCACCTCATCATTTCAGAGATGATCTGAAAAGATGGAAAACTTGGTACAAGTTCTAGCTCTACAATTAGGCTGCAATTTTTTCTTAGTAGATTTGATCATTTTCCCTAAGGACCAATCTATAACTCCCTTTTAGCATGMGTATTCTATTATCACTGCCCAATCTCCACTATATGCAAAAATTACAAACTCCTCTATTACATCACACAAATTGGAGGGTATGAAGTGAACCTGCGAGCAAGATCCATGATTACCACCTTTTCCAGTGAAGTTCAGAAGGACTTGGGGAAACCAGTTAATTTCTACTTCTGTATGCCTCCTTTCTGTTTCTGGGAGCCTCACTTCAGGGATTCACTGAGTAACTGCTCATTAAGAAACAAATGTTAATCAAATTCTCCTGCATAGGTTTGAGGCTTAGCCACTAGTAATTTCATATTTAAGATTTTATCTTCAGTCAAGTTTTTAAGCAAAAATTTCAATTAATCTAATAGAAAACCAGCATCTGATGCATAGCTTTGCATACTGAACCAGATCTTGGCTTCAGTTAAGACAACTGATATTATCACACAAAACAGTGAATGTAGCAAACTGCGCCTACGGCATGTGTTGAAGAGCTATTGCACATCACAGTTGTTCACTTTTTAAAATTAGTCCTTTAAAGAAACTAATAAATGCAGACCCCTCACAACTGTGGATTTAATAAATCTATGCAAATATGAAGTTGGTCACTGTAGAGCTTGTGTAGAATAGGGCTACAACAGCTCTGCCCTCCTGCACCTTCATTGCTGTGCTAGGGATAGTTAAAATAAGAATACCCAAAACCAATTAGAAAAAGCATCAACAAAACAAAACAAACCATCAAAAACACCAAGAAGGACTGCCACTGTAATAACCATATTTGCTTTAATGCCAGTTTCATTTTGTCAGGGATTGATGTTAATCAGCCTTTAAAAAATAGTTATACTAAAAGAGATCTAGGAGAACAAATGAGAAGAAAACTCAACTAATGAGTTAGCATAGGAATATACCTCTATCTCAAATAGCTTTAGCCTAAATCTGGTATGCTCAGTTCCTTGGAAATAGGATTGTTTGAATTGCTTTATCCTTCACTCTAAAAACTGCTGCACTCTGTATATCCAGCGTGATGCTCAGACTCAGTAACAGTATTTGATTCTCGACAGTGTTCACTGGAAGGAATCTCATTTTAAGGTCCCAGCACAGACATTTACCCTCATTTCCAAAATTCAGCCTACCTTTTCTGCCTGAAATATTTTCATGCAAAATATTTTTTTTTATTATTGTATGTAATGCAGACCGTATTATGTTTAAATTTCTAGCTTGCAAAGAGCCATTAAAGAGTTGASTTCAGAAACTTTTGAATTAAAAAGAAAAAACCCACCCACTCTCTTTCTTCGAGTGCTGAAAGAAATCTCCCTTTGAGCAACCCCAAAACTTGTGAAGGAGGGGTGAGGCTTTTGAAGTGGTATCATTTCAGGCTGTAGAAYGAGCCTCACAAAATATTTACTGAGCTGAAGGTGTATGTGTTAAATGGTGATCTCAGGAGCATGGTACACTYGAATAAAAAGCTGTAACACTGACAAATTTCATACTGAAACAAGGATCAGCTATTCATTCCACCCTAGTTTGACCAGAGAACCGTATTTTGACTCACACTTGCAATTATGTCTTATGTTTCCGCTAAATTTATGGCCTTATAACKCAAAGGTTTTCAGGATCCAATGCAGTCTCTCTCCAGAATGGTCTTCATGGCAAAGTGGAAGATAAGAATAGAGAAGTAAATCTGGCCAAGCAAGTCTGTATTTCAAGAATATGTTTTGTGTGTGATTCCAGCAACCATTAGCAAAATCAGGCTTGAGGTAACAACAGTCACTGTGAACAGCAAAAGGATTTGAAGGAGCAAGGGYAAGCCTCAAGACCTTCACCAGCAGATGGGGACAGCTGGCACATAACCTCATAGACAGCTGGCACATACACCTCACCTAGATCTGTCAGGTACTGTAACTCACGGTCCCAGCATTTTCAAGTCAAATATTGTCTTTTTGTATATTTAACTAGAAGAGTCCGAATTATTTTGTTTTTTTTATGTTTACAGAAAGTTTGTCTCAAGTCTGAAACAAGCAAGCAAAAAAAGCACAGATAGATCTATCCAAAATTAAATGACTAGGCTATAGAAGTTGCCATCACAGTACAACAGAAAAATAAAGCTTAATGGATGACAGCAGGTTTTTTTAATTCCAAGTCTTTTCCATTTTTTGCATCTGTTTACTACTGCACCAGCCTTAGSCTACTTTTCTACACGTCAAGACCTCCTATGCCTTGTGGCAAAGCCATTAGAAGGAGGTGTGGAATAAGYAGAGGTTTTGGCTACTTTTTAGAAATCATGTGCAGTAAAAAAGAGGAAAAAAGGAGAGAAAATCAAATTTTACCTGATATTGTTCTTAAATTAGTAAAATATGTGCAATATCACAAAGAAAATTGCAGAAGGGAAAGTGATGGAGTTACAAAGAACAAGAGARGTCAAGGCTTTTGGGACTTAAACATGCTCATGCTTAGAGCAGGGAGGGAAAAGAGAGAAACTTAATGGCAGGAGGAAGAAGAGGCAAAATTACGATTGTGACATGAAACTGGCAAGTGTGAAGCAGGTGAAGAGACCAACTTGAAAGGAAAATGTGATGTGGGCAACTCATTCCTTAATAGGCCTAGTTGTCTTGACATGCCTAAAGAGTCATGCCAAGAAACTCTGGCTACCTTATTTGCTTCCTTTGCAATCTGCCATCCCATACCTTATAAGCTACCTGCAGGCCACTCTACAGCCACTGTGCAAGCCTAAAATTAAATAATAAACATGAAATATGCTGACAGTGTGTTACTCAATGTTAAAACTGAAATTCCCAGTGATCATTACCCTAAAATCACAGAAACAATGAATGGCTTGAATTGGAAGGGACATTAAAGATGACCTAGTTCTAATGTCCCTGTACGGGCAGGGATACCTTTCACGAGACAAGGCTGCCTGAAGTCCCATCCAACCTGGCCTTGAACACTGCCAGGGATGGGGCACCCACAAGTTTTCCAGGGAACCTGTTCCACTGCCCCACTACCCTACGAGCAAACAACTCCTTCCTAACACCCCTGAATCCACCCTATTACAGATTAAAGCTTTTTTACGTCATCCACTGAAAACATACATGCCGTTGTCAAAAGTGCCTCTCTCCAGCTTTCTTGTTTGGGCCTGTTTAGGTACTGAAAGGTGGCTAAAAGGTGTCCACAGAATACACTGACAGTTTGATTCGTGAAGATGTCTTAAATCMTATGATGCCATACAACAGCAAGTGTGATTTATAAGCTGCACCACAAGATTAACATTACCATTTGGCTATTACCGCTCTGACTATCCATTCTCTTTCCCTTTTAGCCCAGCACATTTATTCACTAAAAATCCTAACAAACCTACCCATCTTTTACTTATATATAGCATTGTAGAGGGACTTACAGTACAGAATTATACTCGTTCACRCAGAATGAGATTGATTTGTTTGCTGTAAATGGCTGAGTTCCAAGATTATTACATAAAGTTATCTCAACACGTTGCCAGAAAAATCCCAATCCCAACGTGATCAAATTTCATCCCATTTCAGAGAAGCTTAGTGGCRGGAACTATGGAAAGAACTGCTACTAAAAAGTGTCTTTTGGGACCTCACATAATWATTACACCCTTATAAAAATGGAATATAACTATGCTTGCATATCTAAGGTACCCTGCGTTGTCCAGATCATATCAACTAAGTCTTCACTTATTACTTGYTCACTTGCTTGCAAAGTTTTCTTTTGGTTTGTCTTAGAAAAAATTAAGCCAGTTTCATGGCATCATTTTATGGCAAAATCTATTTATTGAGATGATGACATACAAAGTAGGACAAGCACCTGCACTAATCTAGAAAAACAAGTTAGAARATGTGAACTACTTACAGTATAGTCCCATCACAAGCCACTAGTAAAAGAAAATACATCATTAAATGAAAGTATAAATACTTGGTTTTTTTTTTTTTTTTAAGCATCATCTGCATCATCTGCAACCTGTTTGGAACTAATTTGGTCCCCGAAGACTGAAGTCCAGCAATCAAGTCCCTGAACTCCAGGCCAAATTTCCWGCCCGAAAATATCCTGTCTCTCTTTAGGTATTAATCGTGAGCAGGAAACAGGTGCAATGCAGAAAATGCACTTACAACAGCGGGAGATTAGTGCATTATTTCGTTTATTGGTACTCCAGCTTTCAGCACGTCTCACGAGCTGACGGAGAAACAGAAGCCAACTGCGAGTCACTGCGAGGAAAGGAGCCGACAAGTCCCTCGCTCTACGCCGCGCCGACGAGCGGCCTCTTGCTCTCCCACCGGCAGCAGAGCCCTCGCTGCCGCGGCCCGCCCCCGCTGGATGGATGGATGCACCGAGGGCAGCAGCAGCAGCCTCTCCTTGCGGCGGAGGGCCGGCCGACAGCCCGCAGGGAGCGCAGCCCCGTCCCGGGGGCACAGCCCGCACAGGGAAGGTGCGGAAGCGCTGCGGCCGGCGCCCGGCTACTCACCATCTCCTGCCTCAGGAGCTCAAGTTTCGTTTCCAGACGGGCCAGGGCGGCAGCGCGGCGGCGGCGGGGGCCGGGGGCCGCGGCGGCGGGGCGGGCCGGCAGCTCCTCCCCGCGCAGGGGCCGCGCCAGGCTCTCGGGCACTTTGCGCCCCAGCTTCTGCTCGACGTCGCGGAGGTCAGGCGGG